TTTTCAAAATAGACATTTATACACCATTCGATAGAGAATTTGAACAGCTACATTTTACACTATTTATATTTGAGAAAAGAGTTACTTCGATTTTTTGCCTAATGTCCGCCTGGATGCCCACTGTGCGAAAGGACTTTGGTTCTATCATCGAAATTTCAATAGAATGCAGGTCAAAACAACTCTTTATATTTTTTGAATGAAAAATGTTAGTTATCTGCCGCAGTAGCGTATCCAGGAATTTTTTAGTAGTGGGCAATTCTCCAGCCAAATTATTTTGAGAGGTGGACAACAATGGGCAGTTGAAAAATCTATTGGGCAATAATTTTTTAAAAACTTATTGACATTATAAAAGCCAATGGTTACGGAAGAGAAATTCGTCAACCTCAACTAGATCACCATGTTACTGCTGGATTGTAAAACTTTGTTCTTTGCAAAAATATATTTATTAATCGAGGGTGAAGGTAATATATTTTTTAACACAACTCGACAATGGAAAATAAGTAATTAGACAAATATGAATTTTTCTATCGTGTCCAGCATCTTTCAAATTAATAAGACATAAACACTAAAACCCTTTTTTAACGGGTGGGCCAGAATAAATGTCGTATTTTTGTTCTTTGTTTCTGAGACACTTTCCCGGGGTGCAAAGAGTTGGTTCTAGGCCCAATCGACAGAGTATTGATTTCTCTACAAAACCTGCTATTTGAATCTCTGAGAGCATTTTTCTTGTTTGAGCAACATTCAAAACATTATAAGGCGCTGAGTTGTCGAACTGCGACATACTGAAGTCGCTTCGTCTTTTCAGATTTTTGGCCCATTCTCTGGTATTCAATAGTTAATTTTTCTACGCAGAAAGTTAGAGAATTTTGCGCTCTATCGATCTCACTCATTTACAACTTCATACAATGTTTTCACTACGTCAGCTGGAATTATAATTAGTTCTCAACCGGCTTTCCAATTTTTTAAATTAAATTAATTTTTGTAATTAATGGTTTCAATTGAGAAATTTTATTTATATGTCAAAAGACGCAGAATTTAATTCTGTATGAGTTAATCAGACTAAAACCCTGGATTCAGAACGTTTTACTGCTTTTATAGTCAAAAAAGTAAAGTCTGTTAAAAATAGGTTCAACAGTTAGCTTTTTTAAGAGTTATCAGTTTTTTTGCACAGAAAAATTTCTCTAGAAGATTTAACTACAAAATTTCAAAAAATATTTGAGATGCAGAATTTTCCAGTGAACCTTCTGATGTTTTCAAAATTCTTATGAAATCTCTTGTTGGATCAAGGTACATGTTTCTCTATTTTCAGTGTTTCGCAGTTCGACAACTCAGCATCCTTCAATATTTTGAATGTTGCTCAAACGAGAAAAATGCTCCCACAGATTCAGATAGCAGGTTTTGTAGAGAATTCAATACTCTATCGATTGAACCTAGAACTAACTCTTTGCACCCCGGGAAAGTGTCTCAAAAATAAAGAACAAAAATGCGACATTTATTCTGGTTCACCCGTTAGATCCGAAAACCAAATTAAAAACGGTAGTTTGGCCATTCGCTGCATGCATACACTCATATATTTGGAAGTTAAAAATCCCATCACTAACAAGCAATTTAGCCCTCTTTTCCTATACTGTCAATATCCAAGAAGGGAAACTAACATTCTTTCCATCCTATTGTTCGATCCACCAAGCGCACCTATTTGCCCTCGGTCAGATTAAGTCCAAAGAGGCCAAAAATTTTTTCATAACTCCACTTTTGATCGTAGAATCCAAAAACATTAAAAAATATATACGTTAATTTCCACCATTGCACAAGAATTCTCGATGGGCTCGTAAAGCCTCTTTTAAATAAGGTCTCTACAAGAGAGGTAAGTTCTCTCACACAAAAAAAATGTAACGAGATGAATACATGTGGTTTTCTCAATTCGACAGCCAAGACTTCAAAGAATCCCTTCATAAGCGATAAAAGCTTTTTAAGTTATTTTTCAACAGCCGATTTTCTAAGGGATCTTTCGAAAGCCATTTTATAAAGCGAATATTTAACGTGGAAGTATATATCGCAAGCTGATGCTGCAGCGGGCTGCACCATGATCAATTAGATACAGTGGCGGCCAAAATTGAGTGTCCACCCCTTCATGATAATACTGATTTTGTTTTCACCTCAACAACAAGAATAGACAAAGAACGATTTTCGAACAGGACAAAAATCTAACGATTTTGGCTCGTGTATGTATGTTTATATTTTTTCTTTCCACGCAACGGTTGAATTCACATCTTGGATCTCATATGTACATCTTAGACCTTCTTTCTAAAATATTTTTTGCGATAAATATTGTTTGTTTACAAATGCCATCTAAAAGCCATGAATATTCCAATGATCTGAGAACAAAAGTGATCAAAAATAAAGCTGTATCAACAAAGAATTTAGTCTTCGTCACTGCTATCCCATGATCAAATTTTTGCAACAACTTATCATGACATAAAATATTCTTTTGCAAGAAATAATCATTAGGATATGTTTTACTGATTATTAATCAAAATTAATGTTTTTGCTCTGAATTAGTTCTTATTCTGACGTTCGTCCATAAACATGGGCATTAGTTTTTTTAGTATAGCTGCGTATAATCCATAAATATATAGTCACCAGCTCTTATTATATATGTTTCTACTGCTATTGTACTCTACTGTTGCTAGAAAGTGACCAATTTATATATCTATATTCCAAATTACGATTGTTGATTACTCCTTAATTAAAAAGGGATTCCTTTCTGGAAGCGCACACCAGTGTAGCTTTGCTCGTTTCAATTTACGACCACTTTTATACTAATCGGCTTAAGTTTTGGTCGCATTTAGAAAGCTAGGAAAAGAATAACAGAAAACTCTGTAAACTGCGATGGTACAATTCTGATCAATCGAATTATTATGTCAGGTGACAATACGTAACCCGATCGCTTATCAAACCGAAGCCTGGCAAAAAGAGAAAAACTGACATATTTTTATCAACTAGAGCACTCTTATTCTGACACTCAAATCCTGTTGCTATACAATGTATTATGTCAATAAGTCGAAGGATAGTGAAATTCTTTTTTGTGAAACCGACGACAATCTCGATAAAAGGACGGGGGCTTATAAAGGTCAACATTTTCCCTTGATATTTCTAAATAAGAGTTACATATTCAGAATCAGCGTGAAGTTCTGCGTCGAATGAGGTATACGGCACCTTGGAAAAACCATTTTGAATTTTTCGGAAAATTTGTGGCTTCTATCCCAAATGGAATGAAGCTGAATAATACTCCTTTATTTTATCATCTAGAAAGTACTAATTATGTTCTGAAGATGTGCAAGGGACCAATTTTATTTCTGGTTGTCTTTTCCCAAAACACGTTGAAATGATGCTTCTAAATCCGATAGACCGCGTAGAAGTATAATTTTTGTTTTCGATGATGCATTTTGGTGAATAATATTTAATAGTCTGCTAAACCAATGAAACGTGTTTTCTTCTCGTGTAGAATTTCTACCATGACCATTAATACCACCACCTGTAAACATTCAAAGCTGTTACAATTCAAAAAGATGAGAAGAATCTTCACATCTACATACCAATTGAAACGCCATCCCATTCTTCTTCCTTCAATAATTTTAATAAATGTTGATCATTTTCCTGATTGTTTTGTAATATTACAACGCGTGCATTTTTATAACCAAGAGAATGTAAATGTTGTTTAATTTCTTCGCCTAGTTGCTGATCATTACCAAGCGCTAATATTTTCCATTCAGAAGATTTTGTTGATGACATGCTTTGTGTATAGAAAGACGCAAATGTAGTATATGTAAGGCACACGACTATGTTCGTGTTTCTTTCTTATTTTCTTTCCACAGTCTGGTATACAATAGTACACACGGTCTATTGCTCTCTTTTGTGCTGGCGATAAAGAAAAACGAACGAATACATATAGCAAACAGTTTTTATGCACCCTCATCTAATCCTTCATGCAGTAGAAACAATGGATTTTATTGCATTAAATAAACACACGAGGTATACAGCAGTACACAAGGTCTATTGCTCTCTTGTGCTAGCGATATAGAATACCTATAGCAAACAATTTTTGTGCACCATCAACTGTGCAGGTGATTAGGAATATCTTCACATCTGCATACTAATTGAAGTGCCATCTCATTCTTCTTTCTTCAATAATTTTAATAAATATTGATCATTTTCTTGACCATTTTGTAATACTACAACTACTATGGGTACATGCTAACTCTTCGACTGCAGAGAAACACGAGGTCAAAGTTGCTCCGTTGTAACGGAAAGTGAAGTTTGACATCCCTAAAATTTGACACCCGCGATGTAGCTTCTTTGGAAAAGAAATGTGGGAGTCTATGTAATTGTCGATGCTCGGTGCGGTGCTCGAACTGCATGGAAGTATCGTTTTAGAAGTACCTTCAGTGACTTTTATTCGATCTATTCATCGTTTTTAATGTTAAACCGATATGATCATTATGTTCAGGAGTTGAAAAATAATAGAAAATATGCTGCATTTCCTCGAAAACATAAGAAAAGAATATGTTAGGGCGAGAATAGTGACAAAACATTTTTTTTGTCGTCGATCTTTCTTCTAGGAAAAATAAACGCGTTCTGCTAATAAAAAGCAGCTGTTGACTAGTTCTTAATGAATCTCCTAGTCTTGTGATAAAGTGCTTGTAATAATTGCAAGTTATTGTCAAAAGCTTACTGCACCGACACGTAAAATGTTTCGCTGGAAGATGGTTTTTGTTGTAACCACAGCACTGGGTACGCGTATGGTCGTCTGTTTAGAAGAATAATCCATCATTTATGAATTGTCATAATGATCTAATGAGAGTCTCTTCATGGATTTATGAAACAACGAGATAACATCAGCAAGCTGAAGGTCTTACCTGGGCATTAGTGTTATAGGAACGTTCACTCTTTGAGTTTTACAGAAAATTTAATGATAACCAGATTAAAATTTTTGAATATCAAACTCCCTTTCAATTAGATAGAAATATGGGAGGTGCAGGTGGTTGTGTGCTATACGCTAGAGATGATGTTAGCATTTTACGTATCAATAATTTAGAACACAAAAAATATGAAGTTATGTTTTTTTCACTCACTCTTTCTAATCATAGTAGATCATGGTGGAGTAAAGTCTCTAAATTAATGCACTGTACAAAATATTTGTCGATTCCTCCACTCAATAATATAAATAATGAGTTGGCTACAGATAGGAGGGAGAAAGCTAATTTATTAAATAATTATTTTTGTTCTGTGTGCATTATAAATGATACTGATGATAATGTAACATAAAAACAAAATAAAACACATTTTAAATTAAGTACTATAAATATCTCCACCCGACATTGAAAAAAGGACGGGAGCTTATAAAGGTCAACATTTTCCCTTGATATTTCTAAATAAGAGTTATATATTCAGAATCAGCGTGAAGTTCTGCGTCGAATGAGGTATATGGCACCTTGGAAAAATCATTTTGAATTTTTCGGAAAATTTGTCGCTTCTATCCCACTTGTGGAAGACCCAAAAAAAGTTTTTACTCAGAATTTTTCTAGTTATTACCATGCGTAGTTTAATTCTTCTCTAATTCTTGCAGTGATACGCTCATGATAATGTTTGAATATACTGTTCCTTTTTTCTGTTGATGATTTGTCATAGTCACGATGTTTCTTATTAATAGTTTCCGTAAAGCATTTCACATATAATGCTAGCGTTTTTTGACATATAAACGAGGTTGGACGTTGGTTTGGATCGTAATTAATACAACGTAAAATAAAATCATTTAGAATTGGACTGAGATTTTGCAGTTTAACAGTTGAACCGGTTATGTCAAGTTGTGCATTTGCTTCTGTGAAGAATTCATTTAAGGTCAATCCAAATGTGTAGACGTCCAGTTTCTGACTGTAGCGTCCCAAGTAAAATTCAGGTGGCATATAGGGGTTATAACCTACCATAGTATGTTGATGATTTGCACTAACTTCACGAGTTATGCCCATATCACCAATTTTAGCAACCTGATGTTCGTCTACTAAAATGTTAGCCGGGCGAATATCGCGATGTATCAAATTATGTTGATGCAATTTATGCATTCCTCTTGCTACATGCAAAGCATATTTAACTTTCCGGAAATAAGATATTTTTTCTTTTTCCATCATACATGCCAAGCTTCCTTTAGCCATATATTCCATAACTAGATAGCATTTATCTTCGAGTCTAGATATGGTCTCGACCGCATAACCGTAAATCTTCAATATATATGCACCAGATACTTCTCGATATGCGTTCAGTTCCCGTTTAAAGCTTTGTAAAAGTCCACTGCCGCCTTGCTTACGAACTCGAAACACTTTACAGGCAACACGAAGTTTCTTTGAGACCCATGTAGCTTCATATACGGTTCCTAGAGAGCAAAGCAGTAGAAATGGAACTTAGCGGCTAATGTAAGCCAAAAAATCACCGTTTTATATACATATGTTTGAAACTGGAAAGCGAATAACATTAAAAGACTATCATTTATTAATGACTGATAAACAACCACAAAGACTTCTAATAAAAGAAGCTTTAGCTATAAAAAGCTTAAATCTCACTCTAAATAAGACAGTTGCATCAACACCCCTCTACATTTATCCACTAGGTATACCCTCAACCTATATACCTGATCCTGGAGGTTATAGGAAAAACAATCGAAAAACTTTTAACACAGAAACCGCAATAGACATTCCATAGTAACAATAAATATATGCGACAAGCTTTTGTATTTTAGCTTTGTAATCGTTTTTAACAATTTTGTTTTCAAATCTTGAAAATGAGTTCATGTGAACTCGAAACGTCGAAAGAAAATAAATTTATTGAAACCGCTGTAAAAATAACTTCCACTGCCGCCTTGCTTACGAACTCGAAACACTTTACAGGCAACACGAAGTTTCTTTGAGACCCATGTAGCTTCATATACGGTTCCTAGAGAGCAAAGCAGTAGAAATGGAACTTAGCGGCTAATGTAAGGCTGTGCTTTTCACACGATTACACCAAATAAAATCTGTACCTCTTCCTACTCTATTTTTGAACAATAATGCTATCGCTAATGTCGACGAGCATGTTCGTCTTGGCATGTTATTACAAGAGTTGATGTGGCTGCGTGTTATTCTCACAACATAGATAAGCTGCGTGCAAAATTAAACTCACTCGTTGGTCTGCTGCTTCTGCATAAATAGTGGCTAAATCGAAAAGCGCTAAACATCTCTTACCACGCTTATGTCATGTCATCAATAAATTATGGATTCTCACTATACTCCTTGACACCTGAATATAATATTGACAGGCTAGATAGTGCAGTTTCAGGCAGGTCTAGTTGTTCTGGACCCATGTGTACAACTTCACAAGAAAAAATTCTGAATGACCTCCACTGATTACCTTTGAAAGACCATTTCTCAAAGATACGGCTGATACTTTTTCGTCGTATTATATTCCGTTCCGCTCCGCAATTTTTGAGTAATAATGTGAAAATCAAACCTTTAAATGCTTACAACACGCGGTCAAACGATTATCAAGTATTTTCTTCCGGCCATCTGAAGGGCTCTGCAATAAAACGCACATACTTTGCCCTTGTTCCCCATGAATGGGATAAACTACCGCCTGATCTTAAGACAGTAAATTCTCTTTCAACTTTCAAAACAAAATTAAACTACTCACTTTTTAAATATCTTGATAAGAATCACTACCTTTGTTCTACTGTCCCTAGAAGAGTTGCAGTAGCGTATACTCGTTGTCGGGTTGATTTTTCGCCGTTGAGAGCGTTACTAATGTAAAGAAATCTACTCACTCTGGGCGATCTAGTGAATTGTAACTGTGGTGAAGATGAGACCCTTTCGCATTACTTCTTGCATTGTGCATTATATGCTAATCAAAAGAATTTACTTCATGATATACTAAAACCTTTCGGAGCTTTTAATCTGGATCTGTTAGTACTAAGGACACATTATAATCTGGAATCGATGATGCTTATTGCTGACAGTGTCACTGCTTTTATAAGAGCACACGTCGCTTTAAATGAGCTATCACTTGCTTCATCAAAACTTTATCTGCTAAACAAAAACTTGTGTTATGCCTCCTCAGATCAGCGTCGGTATCCTTCCAGTCCAATATCATTTCTTCACCTTTTAACTGTTTTTCTGTTGTTTGTGTCATAAATCGTGAGTTACTATTATTTATTCATTTTCCTTTTGAGCATTTTTTCTCTTTCGTTCTCCTTTCGCTTCTATTTTTTGTTTTTTTCTTCTCTTTCCTTCATAACTGATGTTTTGCAGGTGTGAATGCTATAATGAACGTTATTACGCTCGTTTGTGTTTGTGCCTGTCTTTCTTTCGATTGATAAATAAAGTTTATACAAAAAGAAACTCCTTCTAACAAACCTTTCAAATCTGTTTATATGGAAAAATCCCTAAGTCTGTCTCGCTGCGTCGCGTTAGTACGGGTTCCTATATCGTGTTCGTACGTGTGACTGCATTGTGTGTAAAGTCTGGTCTGTAAGGATCGCTAACACATATTTGATTTAGGGCTAGGAAAAAACTGACAGATTACAAAAACGCTTTTTATATATTTCTGCGATCGAACTAAAAAATCGAAAGATTCACTATGTCATGTTGGCACCGATTCCTACGTCGAGTTAATTTTTGGCAAAGGTCGTGTTTATCTATGAACAAACTTACACTACTCTTTGTATTTCATATAAAAACATCTACACTAAAGCAGATTCACAAAAATGAAGTGCACTATTTTTGTTCAACCGCTAATTCTCGCTGTAGAATTTGTCTTCAAATTTTTTGCATTAAATGTTTTTCTTATAGCTTGTCATGAGGTTACGTCACTTTTGAAATACGAACAAGCGCTTTTTTTTGGTTCTTGAGAGTAGATATAACAGGATTATAATAAGCGAAACGCTCAACTTACCAAATGCCCCTCGTCCCAATTCCACGTCACTTAATTCAAGATCGTTTAGATCGATCTCAAGTATATCTTGTTCTGAAACAACAATCATTGGATGATTGGATTGATGTTTCATTGTTGTTACACGTCGATCCAAACACTGTTGACATAAATTATAATTATGACATGCATCACATTTGAATCGTAATCCCTTAAAATTTTGTCTTCGACAGCCATCACATCTTATCCCACTGTGTTTGTCATCACTAAACATTTGTTTGATTCTATCCATTGTAACGTCGGCATATCTAAGGTCTCTGCCAAGTATTTCACAAGGAATTTTGAAATGCACCATCGGGTGACCACTAAAATGCTGATAATTTTTCCTTCGCGCTTCAAAACAGAGAGCACATAAATGATAACCATAACAATTCAAGCAGGAGTAACAATCAGAAGTGAAATTAGTGGCGGAACACCCATCACAAGTAACTTCATGATAATCAGGTCGTTCTTCCAGACTAATTTCGGTAGGAAGTGAAATTAAATTAATACTACTAATATCGTCTTCACTTTCAATATCTGAACCAATTTGAACTTCTAATTAAACGGAAAATTCAAATGTGTTAGGAAGAAAAAGTATTAGAATGGTGCATTGTGTTTTTGTAGATCTAAATGCAATCTAACTGGATAACTCACAAACTCGACTAGACATTCGTGTGACTCTAGGAACCGTTGTCTCATTTTCAGAAAATGAATGAGTCTCAAAAGTTTAAAAGTGTCGAGAACAGAGATGTCTCCTCTGAACAACGTTATATGAGGGTAGTGTCGGGCAAAATATGAGTTAAGACTTTTGATTTTATATTTACTGCGCATTCCTGAGTCTAATAATCTCAACAACCCATAAGATCAGCTAAGAGCTGGAACAAGTTTAATGGATGCTGACGTTTTCCAATAAGAAATAAGACAATAGAAAATTTGTCATCGTACCTAGTTCCCAATTCGGTGAATGCAATCTTCCAGAATCTAAATTGATACAGTGTAATATATGAGTGATTTTAATAAAAACAGTATCGTTCGAACCACGTAAATGGTCGCAAGCGTTTTGTCTGTTAGTCTTGATAAATTACTTTCGGACTTTTTACATATATTCATCAATACTAGGCTTATAATCATTGCAAGTACGACTTTTCTATGTTTGTCCGTACAAGCAAAACATTAATATTTGACCGTTATTTTGATGTTGCCTTTCCGACAGTTCTGATGACTTCAAATATTGAATGTTTTGCAATATTATTTTCTCTGTTATTTTATGTGCAACAATATAAGGCGCACATAATTCGAAGTTACGATTTTTTTTGACTTATTAATACATCATTCGATAGAGAATTTCACGGTAAACAAGAATATCACCTTTTTAACAATGAGTTATGGATTTCTCAGCAATGGAAAGGAATTTCAAGAAGAAGGGAGTTCTACTTTTGCGGTACGAATATAGGCCGATCGATTGGAGGCTTTTCTTGAAAATGAACGCTGTGTCGTTCGAAACGCCGAAAACGTTTTAAATAATCACTAAAATTTAAAATATGAAATTTAAATTAGCTCTTCTGACTGGGTCACACCTATTATTCTTAAATTTCTGCCCATTAATAACTCAAATATTAAAAGTTTTGTGTATGTTTAGAAGATATACGATCATGGCAAGCGAAAAAAAGAAGTGTTAAAATGGCTACATCCGACTGTGTTTCGTTTTGAAAGTTCACTAAAAGAATTAAGATATTTGTATACAAACAGTATCACGGGCACGTTCATCGAAGCCGTTCATAGGCAACCCTTGTGGTTCCGCCCGCTGACCATCCCTACTCTCACCGCTCTCCTCGAAGGTAGGAGGAGTCACTTAGAAAAGTTTCTGAGTGGAAAAAACACCGTTGATATAGATATAAGACTGCACAAATTCCACTTTTACAAATTGTACACTAAATACTTACCGAAGAGTCATCGTTTTTGTTGCGACGTTAAACCGAAAAACATTTCTGCAAAAATTGTATTGAAAAATCACACGCAGTAAAGTACAAAAAAGGATTCTGGAATAAAAGACAAAAACTATCGTTTTTCTGTTTGTTTCCGCGCGAGAAGATACAGCGCGAGAAAACGCATCTACGAACAATGCGTTTTCCAGTGTTGTGTTAGTGTGGCCACAAAAGTGCCAAAAAACGCACATTTCGCAGAAATCGTGAAAAAAATTTGACATGGGACACGAATTCTCAAAAATCTTGTGAAAAAACTTTCTTAAAATTTGTCATCATACATCTGTCTGTTCTAAACGGTTGTAAATTACCAGAATTCAAATTGCTAGTGTCTGAGCATGTTGACTTTAAAAATGTAAGTAAAAATAGGAGTTTGGCAATCATCGCAAAAAATGCGCACGTTCCTTTCTGTCTTTTTCGTTTTGAAGGTCAATAAACTTGAAAAACTAGCATCTGAATATGACATCAAAATAATGTTCACACCGAAATTTCATTATGTGACTAATCCTATTTAATTTCATTCGTGCCATTCAAAACAATACATCTACAAATATGCGGATCAAACATTTGAAAAATTAGTTAGTTTGATGCTGGAAGTGAGGAGCAAAGAGTTTTCTATTTTTCTATCAGTAATCCAGAGAACTGTATATTGTATATACTTTTTATCGATTATCAAATATTTTTTATTCAGCGACTCGAGAAAACGATAAAAATAAATAAATTTCGTAGAAACTTCGATTTTTTGTTTGTAAAGTTTTCCAGAGATCCTCTGGAGACCTTCTAAAGATCTCTAAACCATTTGCCTTAGATTCACCGTCATTTTTAACCTATATGCATGTATTTTGACGAAGTTTGAATGAAAAATGAATTTTTTGTTAGAAAATCGCTTGAAGGAAAATCATTTCACGTGTTCATAAAGCAGCTGTTACATATCAGCGAAGAAAATCCTAGGAACGAAAACGAAACATACTTTTGTTGCGCATCGAAGGGCAGTTATAATGGCGTGTGAATCAGATCTCTATCTCTTCACGAACAAAACTAGATGCAGTTGCTATTTTAGATAATACGGAGCATTCCTATCGCCCGGTTTTCTGTATCGGATACGTTATATGCGATTAGACTCTAGAGAACTTTTCTAGGCTCAGTTTTATACAAGGAATCCGAATATTACTTCAAAAGTCTTAAAAAATGCAAAGCAAAATAATAAGAACACATTTTTCGAAAAGATAGGTTTTTCAAGTTTTGGAGCTCTTCTCAGTATTTTGCGTTTTCTTCCAGCAAAACTTTATCTAAATCAAAAAGAAGGTCGGATTCGTGATCAGCAACTCATGGCGGATCCCAATATAAGTGTTAAAACGAAAAATAAAACTTGTGGATACTTTCAATTAGTGGCGTCTTAGCAGCAGACAGAAAACGACGGATAACGATTTGTATGGGAAATCAGTTCACTCAACTTTTAATTTATACCACCGTTAGTGGTAACTTGATTATGTTCTGACATTTTCTTACATGCTTGACTCTTGTACATGCTCCTCTTGTCCACTTACGTTCGTATCTTTCTCTGGACTGGCTTCTGTATGTGTTCCTACTCATTTTAACTGTGGCTGCGTTAATTGCTGGACTGACTTTGAGTTGATCGAGCTTCTTTTGTTATAATTTTACTAAATCACTATAGATTAATGAAACAGTGCATTATTATATGCAAGTAAAGTTAGGTGCGAATAAAATGGCATCTGAAAGAACATCAGACTCGAATTCACACAACCTTTCGTTTAACTTTTGGGAATAAATGTTAGACTCTGCATTACACCGTTAGAATGGAACCTTTCTAACACCGAATTACTCACCCTCACCCGCTCGTATCAAACCTATTGACTATATCATGAAGTATGTTGATGTAGTCATAACGATCTCTAAAGCCTACTGTTCTGAAAAATGTTTTTGATAGATCCGAGACAATGGGCACTAATGAGGGCTTTATCTAGATGTTTATATACAAAAGAGTGAATTTTCTGTTTACATTTGTAATAAATACCATGTATTTTCAAGCGTGGACTCTCATGTATGAAAATACCTCCCCACAGCTTTGTCAAATTTCCATTTATAGTATAAGCAATGATACTTTACCGAAGTGGAAATAAGTTGTAAGGTGCCGCTAATTTAAAATTTTAGCACAGTTTTATTTTTCGTGTATGTATTCATGGTGAGATAGAACGCATCGGGGTGAGTATGGAAAACTGCTTTTAAGGTTTCAATAATTTTTAGATAGAGAAAAGTGTAAAATACTGACGTGGGTACGTTTTATCGAAAGACTGCTAGATTTTGAAGAAAAGTTTACGCCTTTGTTGCTCGCTCTTTTAAATGTTTACAACCATTTTTTTTTTGAGACTCAAGATGTGAAACCGTCCTTATGGCGCCCCCGCCCCGGCGCAGAAATACCGATTTGCATCAGAAATATCGACACTGAGAAAAGTACATAGTTGGATAGCCCAAAGTGTCTACTTTCTAATGGCATAATCTTTTTGTCGATAGGATAGGTTTTTCATAGGTTTTGAGTGCGTTTTCCAGAAGCCCTATAGCAAAAACATGGCTGTTTTTCCACTTGTATCGCATATGCACATGCATGTGTCGCACATGCCCGTGCACACGTTCATTAGATCCGCCATGGCTGATAACCTCAAACAATTTTTGAGTAAAACGCATTTAACAGAATCAAACTTATTTTGCGTTTTTCTTAACATTGTTTTTTCTCTTCAGGGCTTTTGCCACGTACAGGAATTCTCAGTAATGATACATCGGAGAAAGAAACGTTTTGTTTTGATTTGTAGATAACACCTACAGCTTGGAGTTGACAGAGTCCGATTTTTAAATTATGCTTCCCTTTTCTATAGAAATGAGGATTTCTGAGAAACCTTCCACGGATTTTTCGGACTTTAACGTTCTATTTAGTACCAGAAATCAGTAAATGAGAAATTCAAAAATCGGGCTCTGTCAGCTCCTAGCCACAGGTGTTTACTACAAAACAAAGACAGCCCGAGCGTTCTGTCATTTATCTGGAGTGAGAATTCTTGTGCGTGGTCGCTGCCTGTTTTTGGCCCTTGTTGTGGCGCCGTATCCAATAAGTTACCAGTGGGATAAAAAAAACTTCGTTACTACACTTTGACATGGGCAAAATTCCCTGAAAGTTTGGTTCAGATCAGACCTGCCTGGGCTGTAGGTTTCCGACTCAGGAGGAGCCCTTAAGAAACTTGATCTTACTCAAAAGTATAACATGATTATTATTTTTGGACCCCAATTGGAACCTTCGAACTGTTTTTCGGTCATTATATAAACCTATCTACTGTTTTCTGGTGAGATATGAAGGCAGCATTTCTATGCCATTCGAATCTCAAAAAGTTGAGGAACAAACCCACATAACGTTCTTTTTATTTTGCTTCATCACCTAGATTAGTAGCGAAAAAGTCAGAATTCTGCCAGTAATTCTCAATTTCTCCATCACGATTCATCTTTTATGCAATACAAATAGTATAATTGGGATCACCGTCAGAAACAGAGTCGAATGATGTACATTTTTGTCCCATTAGACCAACGTAGTCTTTTCGCATTTTCACCAAAGTATTAAAGCCAACCAAAATTTTCGAAAAACATATCATTCGACTCAGCCTTTGAAAAAATAAAGCGATTGAGCTGAAATTTTGAATTATCGGCACCTTACAATTTATCTCCACTTCGGTAAACTATCACTGCTTATACTATAAATGGAAATTTGACAAAGCTGTGGGGAGGTATTCACATACATGACAGTCCATGCTTGAAAATACGTGATATTTATTACAAACATAAATAGTAAATTCACTCTTTGTTTACAAGCAATATGATATGACGAAAATGTGCTGGATGTAAAACTCTAGAAACGTATGTTTAAATCTCAATCCTGGCAAACAATCACAAGCAGACTTTTCTCTTTTAGCGTATCTTTATCCTTTTCTTGATGTCGCAACGGATAACTATATGTCAGACATAAGGATACATACCGAAAGGCAAGACAATACGCATGGACCTGAGACAGACGAATAGCTAATACAATTTATTAAATGAAAAGTTGCTCTCTTAAATGGTTCACCTCAGACTGTGTTTATATAGATACCT